CCCCTGTTCTGGGATGTTGTTAATGGTTAATTCAACTTAATAGATATAGGCTTATTCAGGTTATCTGTTACTTCTTGTGTAAGTTTGGGAGACTATATCTTGCAAGGAATTGGTCCATTTCTTCTAGGTTATCAGATTGTTCGTAGTAGTCTTTTATTATCCTTTTAGTGTCCACACATCAGTAGCGATGGCCCCTCTTTTGTTTCTTATATTGATAACTTGTGTCTTTTCTCTTTTTTCTTCAGTTAGCTTGGCTAGAGGTTTATCAATTATATTGATCCTTCTAAAGAACTGGCTTTGGTTTTATTAAATTTTTTCTATTGATTTCCTGTTTTCAGTTTCATTGATTTCTTCTCTAATTTTTTATTTTTACTTCTTACATTGAATTTGATTTGCTCTTCTTTCTCTTATTTCCTAAGGTGGAAGCTTAAATTATTGATTTTTAGATCTTTCTTCTTTTCTAATAGATACATTCAGTGCAGTACATTTCCTTCTAAACACTGCTTTTATTGCATCCAACAAATTTTAGTAAGTTGTATTTTCCATCTTCATTTAGTTCAAAATATTTTAAATTTTTTCTTGAAATGTCTTCTTTGAGCCATGTGTTACTTAAAGTGTGTTCTCCAAGTATTTGGGGATTTTCCAGTTATTTTTTCTTGCTACTAATTTCTAGGCTAATTCCCTGTTGTCTGACAGCATACTTTGTATGATTTCTATTCTTTTAAATGTGTTATAGTGGTTTTTGTGGCCCAGAATGTGATGGGTCTTGCCCTCGGCTGTTTTTCAAGGAGAAAGTTACTAAAGAGTCCAGGGCCTTGACATTTGACCTTAATTCTAAAATTAAATGCATCTGTCTCTTGGCCCTGGCACATAATTTGCACCAGTCTCTTATAAAAGGAACTTTCTCTATGACTTGTTGATTACAGAGCTATACCTGTAGAAGAAAAGCATACAGAGATTGAAATAAATGATTAGGGGCACCTGGGTGGCTCAGTGGGTTGAGCCTCTGCCTTTGGCTCAGGTCATGATCTTGGGGACCTGGGGATTGAGCCCCGCATCGGGCTCTCTGCTCGGCAGGGAGCCTACTTCCCCCTCTCTGTCTGCCTCTCGGCCTACTTGTGATCTCTTTCTCTGTTAAATTAAAAAAAAAAAATCTTTGAAATAAATGATTAATTTTAACAGTAGTCATTTATTAGACACTTATGATTTGCCATCACTTTACGTTTACTGTTTTGGTAAGTTCTCCCAATAACCCTATAAATTGTAGGTATTACTGTTTTTTTAAAGGTTTTATTTGAGAGAGAGAGAGAGCAAGCAGAGGGAGAGAGAGACTCTCAAGCAGATTCCATACTGAGTACAGAGCCCAACATTTGGGTCAGTTTCACCACCCTGAGATCATGACCTGATCTGAAATAAAGAGTTGGACGCTCAACTGTCTGAGCCACCCAGATGCCCCTGTAGTTGTTATTATTATACCCTTTTTACAGATGAGAAAACTGAGGTTCAGAGATATTAACACAGTCACACTATAGTAGGTACTAGGAGGAAGTATCAAAATGAGGTCCATCTGATCCTGAAGACTGTATTCTCAGACACCATACCAAAAACAAACTATAAGCCATACCCCAGTTCAAACTAGCCTCTAATCCATGACAGAAATGGGAAACTAAATTTGCTAAGGGAATATTTGTATAATGGTATGCCTTTGATTAGTTTCTTTCCAAAATCAGTATCACTAAGAGTTTGCATGCTGTTAGCAGTGGCTGTTAGCATTCTAGTAGTGGTACTTCCTCAGAGCGCCTATCTTAGAGTTACAATGTAGGCTATATTTATTTAGCTTGGAGTTTTCTAACTAGGGATGATTTTGGTCCCCGGGGAACATTTGGCAATGTTTGGAGATAATTTTGGTTGTCACAATTGGGTGAGGGGGTAGGGTGCCGTTGGCATCCAGTGGCCAGAGGCCAGGAATTTTGCTAAACGTCCTCCAAAAGCCCAAGACCAGCCCCACACTCTAAAAAAAGAATTATCTGGCCCCAAATATCAGTAGTGGAGGTTGAAAAACCCTGAGTCTAGGTTGTTCCATCCCGTTATTACTGAGAAAACCTTGAGGTCTCAGAAATCTCTCAGCAGTCCCTTAGGATTTGGCTTCGAGGCTAAGTGCCTCCTATGTAAATACTTCGTAGCTTAGTCCATTAACTCATTCTGGCACATTTCCTATACCTTCAGCTTAGTGGCCAGAGGCCTACTCAACGGTTAGGGCTTTTTAATAGGGTGGTACTTTTTCTTCCTGATGTTTCCGAGAGACAGGCTCACCTGGCTTGCAGCCCTTGCAGAAGAGAACCTGGTGACAGTACGCTAATCTGTTGCTGGCATTTTTTGCTTCCTAATCTGTGTTTACACGACACTGAAAATTGACTCCCTGGTGCCAGGCACCATATCTCCTCAGCGCTCTGGCACCGTTGGCGGAGAACACCTCCCCAGTCCCTTTCACACAGTGCTACCCATCCATGTTTATGACATTGCACAGCTGTTCTCCAGAAGACATTTCTGGAGGCATGGTTGGTACAGGAGCTTCTGGAGTGGGGCTTGGAGTCGTAATCATGTTCCCTGTCGCAGATCCACAGCATTCTTAAAGCAGCTGTTACTTTCCTTAACTGTTTTCCTGATGGTAGCTCCCACCCTCCCCTCCAGATTTTAAGATCCTAGAATACGGAGTTTGTTTCTTCAGTTTATTTCCTACTCTTTTAGCAGCTAACGTTTCATTCATCATCTACTGAGAAATCAACTTATCTTCTATTACTTTGTGTTTTATGCTTTTCTGTTAAAAGTTGGAGGACGGGATAAGGAACTATAGTGGTGCGAGAAGGACTGGTGGTCAGAGGGAGATGTCAACTCTCTAGATAAACAAGCCAGGGGGACAGTTCATAAGCTCAATGATATTGAGCCTGGACCAGAGTGAAACTGAGTAATTCTTTCCAGGGAAGTGGTCAACCTTAGAACTAAAAAATGATTTTCATTATTAAGGGGGCCTAAAAAATCAAAAGTCCCCCCCGCCCACCTCCACCAAAAAAGTCAAAAAGTCCTCTTTTAAGAAAGTCCTAAATGAAGCTTACCCTCCTCATGACCCAGAAGAAGTTCAGCAAAGTTCCCAAGTCAGGTGTAATTATTATAGAATATTCTATAAAGATTAAACTTATTAAGGACATATATTTATTTACCTCATTTGAGTGATATGCACAGGTCCTCAGTAGGAGTTTGAGGTCACTGGGCTGTCATTCTCAGGCCTTCCCAAATGCTGTCATTCTCAGGCCTTCAGAGAGATCATGACCATTTGGGTCTATGTCTTTGAATCTGTAAGATTTTAAAGAATAAATTGTGGTCGGGGTATTGGTTTATCTAAAACAGTATTCCTCAATCTTCACTTAAGTATTACCCTCCTAAGGAGATTTAATAGACAGTGTTTACCTAATCACCCCCCCATGGAATTTTAATATTATAGATAGGCTGTGTATCTGTCATGTACTACAGTATATTTGAGGTGAGCTAGTGATTGCACTAAGATTTCCCCATGAACAGTTTTTGCCCCCATGGGGGCAATATTACCCATATTGAGAATATATAATGTAGCAGTATTATTATCATCTTGGAAATAAACTGTTTTTACGTTTCTTTACAAACGGAAACTGGGACGAGGACACTACAATAATAAACCAATGGTGAAGAGAGTCTTCTCATGTAGTAGCTTGCTGCAACTAGAGAAAAGAGAGAAGAGTACTTTTCTGGCTTATATGGAGAACATTTTCTCCCTGAACAACCTCTTGACCATTTGAGGAGAGAATAGGGAAAGATCTGGAATGGCAGAGCAATAAAGGCAGCTCACCAAAAGGGGGATGGGGGGACAGATGACAGGACCCTTTTGCAGTGATATGCCAAGGAGGAAGGTAGTGATACTGAAGAATCTAGGTATAAAATTGTCCATTGTTCCAAGGCTACTAAGTTCTAACAAGTTCAGTTTCTTAAAGTAGGAGGTGATTTGCAGCAGAGAATACCATGTAGGTTGCCTAGCATGCAACAGTGTTCTGTTCTCCCAAGAGGGTTTGGCTTTGTCTGATCAAAAGGGTGGTTGTGTATGAAATGCACCTCGGAAGGAGGAGGAGGAAATGACATGTTCATGTAAATGAAATACAACTGCAAATTAAAGTGTCACCCTGTTAAAAAAAATCCATTTTTTATTTAATTGGTTACCAAGGAAAAAATGTCATACAGAAGTGTATATCTCAGGGAAAGTTAAACTGTGAGATGTTTCAAGTGAATCCAGATTCAAGGAAGTTCTCATGGGGCGGGGGAGGGGGGGTGTTAAGTACTGCCTTAATAAAAATATTCAGATACTGAAAAGCCAGACTCATAAATTTCTGCTGCGTTACATACCAGGGGTCCAGAAGAAATTAACAAATATGAATTCGTTTGTTCTTCACCATCTCTAAGGATCCAATCAGCCTTATACTGGCTGCCTCTTCCCTGGAGGAAGCCTCCTTTTGAGATGTTTTATTAGGAAGAAGGTCATGTACAAAGGAGGAGATGCTTTCTCCCAAAGACCACTGCCTATCACAAAGACATCCGGGAATGAAATCCTTCTCTGTGTGGCTTTCCTGTGTTAATGTTGTGCTCCCATTTTTCACCCACCCCCCAACACCGTGCATTTTTATGAAAACTCCTCTGTCTCTAGATTGAGAGTCTACCAGACAGGACATAATACGGTACCTGCCACATTTTTGGCACTGAGGAAATGTTAAATAATCATGGGAGGGGCTGATGAATGAAATTATGTTTCCAGTAGAATTGTTCTTGAGATATGTCTGGTTTCCCTTTGGGATGGGGACTTGGCAGATGGTTCTTCCTCTTCCCCCTCTCCTGCTGATCCCAGTACATACTGTTTTATGTTTGCAGGGGAAACGTGGATAAAGACTATACTGTGCTCTCTTCTTCTTCTCCCCTACCAGGGGCAGTGATTGGTGATGGACAGTCTGCTGTGGCCAGTAACATTGCCAATACTACCTACCGGCTCCAGTGGTGGGACTTCACTAAGTTCGACCTTCCTGAAATCAGTAATGGTAAGCCAAGGCAGAGCTGGTACTGGGGGAAGGGGTATTTCTTACTGGTGAGCCCAAACTCAGAAACCCATGGAGCGCTGGAGTTTCTGTCATCTTGCTGGGCAGCTGATTCCCCAGTTCCATTCCTGCAGCTCTCCATCAGTAATTCAGCAGACATGTTTTGAGCACCCACCCTGAGCAGCGACCCATGTTAGCTTTGGTGCTAGGAGCAATGCCAAGATGGACACAAAGACGAAGGTGTCTCTTTTCTGGGGAGTTCACCAACAGTAGCTCATCATCCTAAGCCTCAGTGTTTAAGTGGAACTGAGAAGCAGAGAAAGAGAAGAGTATAGGAACTGAGAGCAAGCCCTTGTGTCCCTTGAGGAAAGACTGTGGTGATGTAAACTCATTTATTAATCCAGAGCTGAATGGAACAAAGTGAATGACATGGTTGGTATGTGATTTACAAATGTGTCTGATCGTCCATTTCCCAGCTTCCAAGGACGTCTGCAATCCCATATCCCAGTTTTGCTCATTACAGCATTTCATTTCATTTTGTTTTGTTTTAGGTTTTAAAGATTTTGTTTATTTATCTTAGAGAAAGAGAGAGAGACAGCACGAGCAAGAGGGGCAGAGGGAGAGAGATTCTCAAACAGACTCCTCGCTAAGCATGGGGCCTGATGCAGGGCTCAATCCCAGGACCCTGAGATCACGACCTGAACTGAAACCAAGAGTTGGACACTTAACCACTTCTGCCACTCAGGTGCCACCCATCACAGCATTTTAGACAACTTATTTCACTTTCTATCTACTGAAGGACTCGCACATTCCTAAGAAGTGGCAGCTCAGCCTCTGCTTGAATGAAATGATAGGTCACACTATCTGATAAGATGGCGTGATCCATCACTGATAAGCTCCTGTTCTTGTTCCCAGGCTGTTATTTCTTCCCGGTGGTCCTGGTTTTACCTCTAAATCTCGACGGAATATATCTAATGACACCTCTTCTGGTGGTCCTCCCGCTGTTCGAAGATAAATTGCCATGTCTCTTTGAATCTTTCCTCTCAGGCCAGACTTCTTTCCTGAGATTCCTTTTACTAAATACAAGAAACCTTGGACTGGTTTCCAAGTCCTTGATGGTTCTGTTCACTTTCCCTTTTGACTTTGGGGGGCCAGAACAGAGTAGAAAACTCCAGCTGGGAGCTGTCCAGTGCATACATAGCATAATAGCGGTTTGGACAGTGTTAATTCAGCCTGAGATTTCAGCAGCTTTTCCTGAAGCCACTTTTCAGTATGCAGTCACTTCAAATTCTTGGATAATTACTAAGAAATTGAGGCTCTACCATTCTGTTTATGCAGTTTCAATCCTTTAAGAAACCAAAACGGGTTTATATTTGCTTCTATTAAATTTTATCTTCATAGTATCAGTTGCATTTCCTAGCTCCTCCCTCTCAATGTTTTTTTGAACTTTGGATTCAATCCTTTTCTCTTAGTCTTTACATCACCTACTAATTTGACAGATACACTTTCTCTGTCTTCCTTTGGATTACTAGCAAAAATGGTCGGTCAGCGAGGACATTGTACTGGGCCTTGTGTGATACTGCTGTGGACTTCCTCTTTGTTGACTTTGGTCCCTGAATTAGTACCCTGGGCATGGTGTTCAGAACTGTAGCCCACATTTTTTTTTTAATCTTGTCTGCAAGGTACTGTAAGAATTTGTCAGATGCCTTAAATTAATCCAGATAGTCTCTGTCTGTGGCATTTCCTGATATGCCTGTCTTGGTATCCTTATCAGACCATGAAAATGAGGTTAATTTTTCATGTCCTGATCTTAGTAAAACCACAGTAGCAATCATTTCTTTCTTTCTAAGTGCTTATAAGCCACATGTTCAATATCTTTTAACTCTGCTGGAAATCAACTGCAGTCTACTTTTTCCTTTATTGAATACCAAGTTTGCTTGTTCATCTCCAGATTTCTGGCCCAGATCTTCTTTGCCACAATTTATTTCTAGTTATTTTGTTTGTATTGTTTACCTTTTTAAAATTATAATCTGAAATATATTCACTATTCAAAAAAGTTAGACTGTAAAGTAATAGACAGTGAAAAGTTTCCCAGCTCTTCTCCCAGCTACAGCCCATTTCTCCCCAGAGGCAACTACAATTAGCAGTTTCTTGTGTATCTTTTCAAGGATATTGTATGTGTGCATATATAGGCAATGCAAATGTCTTTTTTTTTTTTTTCATTTTCAATGTTATATACTCTTTCTGCACTTTGCTTTCTATACTTTATAATATATCTTGGTGAACTTTACATACCAGTATATAGAGTTTACTCTTTTTTTTTTTTTTTAAGATTTTATTTATTTATTTGACAGACAGAGATCACAAGTAGGCAGAGAGGCGGTCACAGAGAGAGAGAGGAGGAAGCAGGCTCCCTGCCAAGCAGAGAGCCCGATGAGGGGCTTGATCCCAGGACCCTGAGATCATGACCTGAGCCGAAGGCAGAGGCTTAACCCACTGAGCTACCCAGGCACCCCTACTCTTTCTTTTTTAATGACTGCTTAGTATTCCGTTGTCCAAGTAGAATCTCTGGGTTCCATTTTTTACTCAGTCATTTTTCAACCATTCTTCCTCTGAGGAACTTTTAAAATAGTTTTCAGTCTTTCCTATATAAAACATGTTGCAGTTTGTCATTTCACACCTGGGCCAGATTATCTACAGGATAAATCCCTATAGGAGAAAGCCCTAGAAATGGAATTGTGATTACGAAGAGCACATACGTCTGTGATTTGGGTAGATGCTGCTAAGTCACCCTCGGTAGGGGTTATGCCAATTTATACTCTTGCCTGCAGTTTATGAGGATGCCTGTTCCCCCTAAACTCTGGCTTGCAGAATGTGTTACCATATGTTTTGGATATTTGCAAATCTGATAGATTGAAAAATAGTATGCAGGTATTTAAAATTTGTATTTCTCATATTGCAAAGCAGATCATGTGCCTCTTCACACACTTAGCTCGTGTATTATGTTGCCCTTTCTTGACCTGTCCATGTGCTTTACCTATTTTGTATTGTGTTGCTGATCTTTTCCTTATCAGTTCAACAGGAACTCCTTCTAAATCAGAAAATCAACTTACACTGGGAGTTTCCTGGTTGTCATTTATCTTTTGACTTTACTGAAGGTTATTTTTGTCATAGAACTTATTTTAAGTAGTCAGAATTATCCAGCTTCCCATTTATGGTTCCCAGATTTTGTGTCATCATTAGGAAGATCAGTTAGTACTTTTATATTTTAGTTTTTTTCTTGCCCTTAAGTCTGCAGTTCACTAGAAGTTTAACCTTGTCCCAAACAAGCAGAGTATGATCCAGCCTTTATCCCATATGGCTACTCATTTGTCCCAGCCAGTTTACAGAGTAATTCACTTGTTCCCAGTGATTTAGGATGTCCCCCCTTTTTTAAAAATTAATTTATTTATTTGACACACAGAGATCACAAGGAGGTGGAGAGAGGCAGGCAGAGAGCGGGGGGAAGCAGGCTCCCCGCCAAGCAGAGAGCCCAACACGGGGCTTGATCCCAGGACCCCGGGACCACGATCTGAGCCGAAGGCAGAGGCCTCAACCCACTGAGCCACCCAGGTGCCCCGTGGGATGTCCCTTTGATCCTATTTTTACTTTCCTTTGTATATTTAGATGTATTTCTAGATTATCCATTCTGTCCTAGTGATCTGTTTAATTATTCATGTGAGAGTACCACAGGGGTTTAAGTTTTCAGATATTGTGTTTTAGAATCTGGTAGGAAACTATCTCTTCTTATTATTTTTTTAATCCAGATTTTCCTGTTTGCTCAAGCAGTTTTGTTTTCCTGTATGGACTTTAAAACTACTTTACTTCTTCCCTTCACCCCCCACTAAAAAATTCCCTTTAATATAATTATTGTAGTCACATTAAATTTATAAGTTAACTTAAGGAGATTCAATGTCTTTATGGTTAGATTTAAGAACATGGTATGGTTTTCCATTTCCACAAGTTTCTCTTGTGTTCTTAGGAATGTTTTAAAGTTTTCTTAAGGGACGCCTGGGTGGCTCATTTAGTTAGTTAAGTGTCTGCCTGTGGCTTAGGTCATGATCTCTGGGTCCTGGGATCCAATCCCACAAGGGGCTTCTTGCTCAGCAGGGAGCCGGCTTCTCCCTCTGCCTGCCACTCCCCCTGCTTGAGCTCTCACTCACCTCTCTGATAAATAAATAAATAAAATATTTTTTAAAGGGTGGGGGGGCGCCTGGGTGGCTCAGTGGGTTAAGGCCTCTGCTTTTAGCTAAGGTCATGATCCCAGGGTCCTGGGATTGAGCCCTGTATCAGGCTCTCTGCTCAGTGGGGAGCCTGCTTACCCCTCTCTCTGTCTGCCTGCCTCTCTGCCTACTTGTGATCTCTGTCTTTCAACTAAATAAATAAAATCTTGAACTAAAAAGTTTTCTTCATATAGATCCTTTATAGTTCTTTTTTTCAAAGATTTATTTATTTATTTGAGAGAGAGAGTATGCATGCATGCAAGCAAGAGGAAGGGCAGAAGGAGAGGGAGAGAATCCCAAGCAGATTCCCGGCTGAACGTGGAGCCTGACTTGTTGCTTGATTCCACCACCCCGAGATCATGACCTGAACTGAAATCAAGATGTGGATGCTTAACTTACTGAGCCACCCAGGTGCCCCTCAATCCTATACAGTTCTTAAGTTTACTGTTACAAGCTTGTTTTTAAAATCCTACTGCTATCTTACTGAATTGTTCACTAATTGTAGTTGTTACTCAGGTAAATCTCCTGCATGTTCTAGGTTTGTTATCCATAAGTAATGGTAATTTTACCTTCTCCATTCAAAGTTTTACATTTGTGTATTTGTTTCTCTTGTGTGTTTGCTTTGGCTACCATCAAAAAAATGTTAAATAATAGCAGACATCCTCATATTGCTCTGGATTTTAGTAGGAAACTTCTTTTTCCCAGTACTTTTTTTTTTTTTAAGTTTTATTTATTTAAGTA